GTCGACAGCAACTGGAGTGCGAGATGGCCAAAGTAGGCCTCACCGACGAGGACCAGTGCCAGATGCGTAAGATGTTGTACCAGAAGGAGAGTAATTATCTGCGCCTCAAGAGGGCTAAGATGGACAGAAGTCTGTTCACGAAGATCAAGAATATAGGCGTCGGCGCCTTTGGAGAGGTGGCGCTCGTCAGAAAAATCGACGCCAACCAGTTGTACGCCATGAAGACACTGCGGAAGTCGGATGTGCTGAAGAGGAATCAAGTGGCGCACGTGAAAGCGGAACGGGATATACTGTCGGAGGCGGACAACGATTGGGTCGTCAAGTTGTACTATTCGTTTCAAGACGAGGATTACCTGTATTTCGTCATGGATTACATACCGGGCGGCGATCTCATGACACTGCTCATCAAGTTCGGTATTTTCGAGGAACAGTTAGCGAGGTATGTGTCGATTGTGTGGTCACTATTTGTATGTCAATCTCCTGTTCCCCTCCCGAGTGGTTGACCACTGTTTTGGGGTTTATGTACTTTTATTGATGTTTGTTGTGATGAGTAGTACGATAGGAATGTTGGCTATTTGTCTGGTGACAGACTCCCAGCCCTCTATTAGTTGTAACAATTGTTTTGATGTTTATTTTGATGAGTTTTATCATTGGAATGCCATTCCGTGTCCACTATTTGTTTGATAACAGACTCCCTTTCCCCCTAATGTTTGACTAGTATTTAGGTGTTTATATCGATGATTATTTCGATAGGAATGCGATAAACCTATTAAACAAATAATTAATTGATTTATAAATGCATTGCAATGTATAGCATTACACAGTGTAACACAACAACAGTGCATAACATTTTTAATTGACATATAAGTTATTTATTATTTATTTGATAACATGTGACATAATTTATTATTATATCATTACATAATTAAGTTATATATCATATCTTATCAGCAGTTGATTGACAGCCGTTCCCCTCATTTATTCGCATTGTCTGTCTGTCTGTCTGTCTGTCTGTCTGTCTGTCTGTCTGTCAGTGGCATTCATTCATTGAATAATTGCATAGATAGTGTTAATCTGCCAGTAGTGCTGCGAACCGTGATTTGCAAAATCTGAGCAAGGACACATACCATTGACAATTAGGGCATGTGTGTGTGTGCTATACTATGTTATGCTATTTTGTATTAACAGTTGAATGTGATTATAAAATATAGATTAGTGTCGATAAGGCTTTCCCTTGTACTAAATAATGATAAATGCATAACACGTTTGACATACCGGCGCCTAATACTGACTTTTTTGTGCTCGTGTTTCGGCCACAGGTTTTACATCTCAGAGCTGGTGGCGGCCGTGGAGTCGGTGCACAAAATGGGTTTCATTCACCGCGACATCAAACCCGATAACATACTGATCGATAGGGACGGCCACATAAAGCTGACCGACTTTGGCCTCTGCACGGGCTTCCGGTGGACCCACAACTCGAAGTACTACCAGAGGAATAACGGTATCGATAGCCACGACCGGCAGGACTCGATGGACATCGACGAGTCGTGGGGTGGGAACAACTGTCACTGCGTAGCGCCGGCGTCTAAGCCCCTGGAGAGGCGGAAACGGCGCGAACACCAGCGCTGTTTAGCGCACTCTCTCGTGGGAACACCTAATTACATAGCGCCCGAAGTGCTCATGAGGACCGGCTATACGCAACTGTGCGACTGGTGGTCCGTAGGGGTCATACTCTATGAGATGATTGTAGGCAACCCTCCGTTCAACGCGAATTCGCCCGAAGAAACGCAAAGCAAAGTATGTGTTGATTATGAGTAGGATATCGATGAGGAATGGGATTAAAAATGTTATCCATTTGTCACAAAACAGGTCATCCATTGGGACAAAACACTGCGGATACCGAAGGACCGGAACTTCTCGGCCAACGCGTCGGATCTGATACTGAGGTTGTGTTGCGGACCGGAGGAGAGGCTCGGGAGGAACGGTGGCGATGAGATCAAACGGCACCCCTTTTTCGAGGGCATCGACTTTGGCGGCGAGTTCCGCAAACAGCCGGCGCCCTACACGCCGGAGATCAAGTACGAGACGGACACCTCCAACTTCGATGAAATTGAGGATAACCTTCACACGAACGGCACGTCCGGCGATATGCTGTCCCGCGAGGGCTACGAATACATGAATCAGATGAATGGCTACTCCGAGGGCAAGCACCCGGAGCACGCGTTTTTCGAGTTCACGTTTAGACGCTTTTTCGACGCCGGAGGGCAGGCCTACCCCATCAAACTCAGTGATAGCAACAGCTCGACTAATAGTGCGGATACGGGACAGGGATCGCCCGTTTATGTATGACATACGCGACTCGCCGTTACTATTGAATGTAATTATTTTGTTATTATTACGCAAAACGTGCTGTGAATATGTGTATAGTTTTTGAAATTTTTTTTAATCATACGATGACTCGATCCCACGATTTGTGTCGCGAATAATGTGTTTATTTATGAAATTATAAAACAATTTATAATTATTTTTATTCATAACATAATTGTACTGTATTTTTGTGATACGAAATGTGTTTTTCGTATAATTATTAGCAAATTGTTTTGTAATGACTTATAATAATTACTGAAATCAACGATTGATATGTGATTTTATATGATAATACCATTTATAATGAGATGTGCCTTGAGTTTAGTGCCCCGTTTGCGCTCATAATCCATACGATTAACGGAAAAACAAAAAGATTTTTATATATTAATGAAACAAATTATATATATTATTATATTTAAGATTTTATTACATAATTATATTTAAAAGTTTAGCGAAATTAATGTCTAATTGTGGATAAAAAACATACGAAACGATTATTTGGTTTGTGTTTTATAGACATCTATTTCTCACTGAAATACTACTAATTTTGTACTTTTGAATGAATGATACATAAGTCGATAAAAAACTTTTTATTATTATCGATGTTATAGTGAGAGTAAATGTGTCGTAAAACGCGAACCATTTAATGAAATCTATTGATAAATGACAAATTATTTTTGTGGCGATAAACCAGATGTGAAACACGATTTTATAGACGATTGTAAATAATGTAATATTTTATTATCAATTGTTTTGCCCATTGAAACGCAAAACCCATTTCTCATACATTTCTTATGACTTTCATGATTATCACTACATTTCTAAACGCGTTATGATTTGAGATTAAAAGTAATTTAGCGATCATTTTGTGTTCATTTCGATAAAATACATATAAATATATAATTATTTTAAATGAGTAAACAATTTATTAGTCGTTTTGTATATAAGATGATACACTGAATACCAAACATATTATGTGTCGAAACAAACAATTTGTAGACAATTTTCAATTGAATGTATGATTATTATATAATAATGAGTTTTACTTTATTGACGAGATGTAAGCAAGCTATTTTTTCGACAGACAGAGACATATATAAACCATAAGTTGCCTTAAAATTGCCATTTTGACCCTGTATGCATTTCTCATATGCGGAGGCATTTGTTTTTTATAGTTTTTATTATGATTTTTGTTTTTCTCGTTTTACTGTCCATTTCGCAGATAATTTTATTTTCATTTTGTTTTTAAATTTAATTAATTTTTTTTGATTTGTCTCTCATTTCTCATTACATAAATTGATTGTACAAAACAAAACTACCCTGTTGTTATTATTAGTGAACCATTAATTTATTATTGCCGCCTCCACAGTGTTTTTGTATGAGAGTGTCAATGTGTATTACAATTACTAGACTAACTACCCGTCCCCACCCCCCATACACCCACTCCCTATGCCTCCTAACCAGACCTCCCGTTCCCCTCCACTCTTTCTGTCCGATAGTGAAAAACCCGTGAATTGAATGCAGAGATAGTGTTTGTCTGCGATAAATGAGATTATATTATAATTTTGTGAAAATTAATAATAATAAATAAAACTCTATATTTGAAAAAAACAATTTAATAATAAAAAATCTAATATTTAATTATGCATTAAACATTTTGTGTCATTTATTTATATATATATTTTACTTATATTATATTAGTAGCATTTAAAGTGTGGGTTACAAATGTAAGTATTAATAGTATTAGTGTGTTCTTGAAAGTAAGTTTTTAAAGATTTATTTTGTTTTTCTAGTCTAAGAGTTACTTATTTAGGCGTTTATTTGAGTCGAGAAACTAATTCCAAACAAATTCATGAAATTCCTGTTGAAATGCACTTTTGGCTCAAAAATATTTTTTGCAAATTTGTATATTCCTCTAAATTTGTATTTTTGCACATATTTTGCGATTAGATTCAAAATATAATTTTTTAAACAAAAATATTTCAATACTTTTCAATGATTTTGCGAATATTATTCAAATTCTATGGATAGGTATGTGAATAATATAATATTTATTTTAATATCGATATTAAATGAACACGATTTTAATGCTAATTAAATTTACCAATATTTATGTTAAGTTAAATTACAATCGTAATAATTAAATTTAAAATTAGCATAGGTTTACTTTAATTATAGTTTAGAATAACTCTCATCCAATTATACTTAACCAAATGTACTTACTAGTGGTTACAGTATTTCAGTACAATAATTGAATTAACGGCAAAATATATTGGAATTAATTTTAAATTTGAATTGAATAGGCTAAATTGGCAAGTTATAGAAATAATTTAGCAATCTATTGGTTTTATTTTGAATTTAGAGTGCAAAATTACTATACTTGATCACATTGGTCAAATTCAGCCCGTTGTGGAAGTTATGTAGCCCTCAATAGGATTTAGTTGTTAATCTAGATAAGATTTACTTATTTTATTAAAAATTCATTTTAATTTACAAAATCATAATCCATTAGTGGGCTAAATTGGTCAAATAAATCGCTAATTGTTGCTTATTTCACCTATGTACTATTGTATTTAACATTACATAAAACAATAAGTTAATTTTTAAACATAGAGTTCTAAACGTTATAAATTGTTAAACATGACATAATTAAGCATCTTGCTTATTAGGTTGATTAAATTAAAATAAAAATATATTTTATCGCTTCTGAATGCCCACAACAAGTGGTTTGACCTGTAATAGGAACCCACCCCTGGTGTAGATGACGGGGACGTCAGTGTCGGTGACTCTGGAGAAGCGGAACGAATGTGAAATCTTCGCTAACGCGAGCTTTGCCTCCAATAACGCGAATCGCATTCCAATGCAATTTCGTGGACCCGATCCGAAAGGCAGGTAAGTGTAGGGTTTGAGATGATCCCGGTTTTCGGGCATAAACCTATCCGGGTTGAAGGTAAATGGATCCGGATAGTGGTCGGGGTCGTGATGTATGGCATAGATTGGGATCTCAACGATCACTCCCTTCTCGATCTTCACTCCAGTGTCGCCCAGAGTTATGTCTTCCATGGTTTGCCTCTCGAGTCGAAGTGCAGGAGAATAATGGCGAA